TTTTATGTGATCCGCTGAAATAAAAAATACAAAATACGCTTGTATTGTAAATAGTGCGTTTTAAATAAAAGTATTTCAAGTATGTACATGCCCAGCCCTGATTACAACAGTAATAAAAATGATCAAAAACGATGTAATAATTGAACATTCGTTTAAATTTCGAATGATTGTATGTTTAATTAAAATAACATATTTCAAATATTTTAGTTTTTAAATAAATGTTAAGTCATAATGACAACAGTTATACAGAAGAAGCTGAGATTTGAGAGCCACTGCTATCAGCGCGTGCACGCGTGTGTGTTCATGCGTTGGAATGGTACGTACGGTATCGAGTCAGCGCGAAAAAGTGGAGGAAATATGGAGATTATTTTCTGATATACATGGAAGACCGAGGGAGTATTAAAGCCACCGCCAAGGCGGATGACGTGGTCTTCGCGAATCGCGGTACGTCCAGCCGACCGCAATCGGCCGTCGACCAGTCGTTGTTCCATGCGTTTCTGATGCGTTTTCGCACGAGGCGGTTCCACGATACCGTGGTGCGTGTCACGAAATAAAGACATTATGATGCGTTATGCAAACAACGAAACTCTGTGATAGATGGGCGCCGCTTGCTCGTCGCTCTATTTGACGGTGAACGTCGATGTTAGTGCATGTTAATTAAGAGGATAATGAGACCGGAAAGGTTTCGATTTGGAAACTTCACGCGAACACGAAGGATCACCCAACGGTGAAATCTAGCGCTTTCCAACGAATCTCAAACGAGAGATCTGTCAACAATTGAAAAAGCGATTATTTGTAATCGTCCAAGATTTTTATAATTCCGCGCATAACTAGGTTATTTAGACGAAACATATGGATGATATTCTTTATTTTAATATGGTTGGTAAAGTTTTAATCTTGAAGAGAAAAGAATATAAAGATCTCATGTTAAACGTTAATATAAATATTATTTCAGATTCATCATTATTACTGAAATAAGGTGATCAAGTAAAATACTTCATTACTGATTTAAATAATAATTACTCCTTGACGAGATACGAATGATATCACGAATAAAATGTATAACTTAAAGTCAAGTCTACAGATTATGATATTATATATCAGTATTTTCAATACATTGCGTATGTTTCTTTTTGTATTGTCGGTATGTAGCAGATGAGAACATGAAATTAATGTTCCTTAAAATTTATAGACGTTTCACAAGTACAGGCAGAAGGTATTTCATGTTTTAAGTGTCTCATGACATTCACAAATCCGGACGACACAGAACTGCTTTGTTCCCATTTCGACGGGAGTGCCAAATTCCAAGTGTTCTGTCCAACCTCGACGCTTTGTATGAAGAGAACCGTTCAGTACAAGTCCAAAAGTAGGTAGCCGAGTCTCGCAAGTGTTATTGTTTAAGTGATAGCATAGGCGTTTATTTATTGAAGAATTCCTTCTTTCAGCATCTGTAGTGACCACTGTTCAACGAGATTGCGCGCCACAGAAATATACTTCTCACACTTACAACGACGCCGATAAGCAGTGGCATAAAAAGGAAGAGGTCATAACATCTGCTTACGACGAGGGTTGCTTTATTGGAGAACACAGAGGCGCGCCTACTGGCCCACCTGAATACTGCTTTTGTAGTTTTCATCTGTGCAATTCATCTCCTTCGCAAATTGGAATGTTTAACAAAATATATGGGGCAATATTAGCAATGTTAATTATGAGATTGTTATAAAATTGTTTATAGCACATAACGTGTTACTTAAAAGAAAGTGCAATTGTACGAGTTTCGTGCACATGGTAAGTATCAGTGTCTCTCCTGTTAAGTACAGAACTGCAGAGATCATAACAAATTGCAAATATCATATCATAAATACAAAAATATTGAAGCCTATCCGATATGAATGACCATAAATAGCTAACTTGTTATTAAAATTATTACATTATAAAATTATAGTTTATTTTTAATTTTGTAATTTGTAAATTTCTATTTCTATATTTATAATTTGGAATAATATATGCTTGAATGAAAAGAAAGATCTTAAATTATCTTGTTAAAAAGAATAATTGGAATATTTTCTATATTTATAAAAAGTATTACAAATATACATTAAAGTATTAAAATCTATTTATTGCTAATATTTGTGTAAATTTGATGTTTGAAATTATCGAAAAATAGAAAAGTTTTTATCATAGTTTTTAATAAATATGAGGGAATGTAAGAAATTAACGAAGACTTTTGGAGTGATCTAATAATTCTAATAGATATATATAATCACTGCCAAAAACTATTCAGCCAAAATTGTCATTTATCTCAAATGTTCGTGAACAAAGTGTATTTTGTACACATACAAGTACTTAATTAACACTTAAACTCGAGCTGTGACCATGTAAATTGTAATGATACAACATTTAAAATATTCAATGATGAACTATAATAAAAAAAATTATAATATTAAAATCCTTGTATATTTTAGCGGTACAATATCTTCATGTTACGTTCATATATATTTTTTTATGAATTATGCAAATAATTATGTATCGCAATGACTAATTTAAATTACTTCAATAAAATTTACTTCAATAAATATATCACGTTTGGCTTTTCAATAAAAGGAAGAAGAAAACTTACCTCGGCGTTATGTTCCACCAAGTACAGAAACACGACATCTTCGCGCATCAAACGTACCGCTGCGTGCAAAGGATATTTGCTCTTCGTTTGCAGTAATTTGTACAATAGAGAGCCAGGCATTTCCTTGAAGTCCTCGCCAGTCAGATCTTCCTGTAATATATATAGGCATTTTAGGTATAAAATATTGTTATTCTGGTAATTGCAATCTTACCCAATGCGCTGAAATTAAGGAGCTGCAATGCTCCTTCAATTTTAGAGTACCCAGTTCCTCGGCGGCTGAATACAATCCCACGCAATTCTTCAACCCTACGGTCCCAATCAGATACCTTTCGCATTGATCTACCAGATCGGACAATTGGAAACCAGCTGCCGCTTTCATCAGATCTAATGTTAAGTGTTCCTGAGATACTTTGCCTGTGTAAATCCATTTCAGCAGCACTAATGCAACGGCGCTATTTAAACTGCTCCAATCTGGAAACGTTTGTAATATGAACACAACAATTGCGTAAAAAAGTAAGATTAAAAATCAATTTAATGTATTAAATAAAAATAAAACATATTCAAGTAAAAGTAAGATATAAACAAATGAGTCGCAAGTTTATCTAACCTAAAACAGTCTTTTCCACAAGGGCTGCGTCGCTGAAGAAATCAGACCTGGCAGATAACACGAATTTATGCGCCGGTATCTCTTGGTCGATCAGTTTTATACTTATATCACTGAAAACAAACAATTTTAGAAACAGACTTATTAATATCCCATTATTGTTATTATTGTTGCAAGACACCTGAAATTTCAGGTTATACGCGTAAGGATACCTGTAACGATGTTGACAGTACAAGGATGCTACCGTCGCCAGAAGCCTGGCGACGAATCCGCCCTCCTGCTTCTCAGCCGTGGCGACGGCGTACTCTCGTTGCAGTTCCGCGTTCGCGTTGTACAAATTGACATATTGCTCCCGCAGCAGGGTCAGATGTTGTTGCCACTTCTGCGCCTCCGTGGGGTCCTCTGAAACGATCAGCGGTCGTGCAAGGACGCGTAAACTTGGCGAAAATGCTGATAACTTACCCATGATCGAAAGAGGAAAAAGAGCGAGAAACCGTCACGTCCGGCGTTTCGGTGTAATCCGTCACGACGTTATCGCTCGTGGCGCGGGCCCGCCGCGCATTAACGCACGTTCATTTAAACCCTTAGCACCGCGCGTCGAATCACCTGGTGAGAAAGGAAAAAGAAAAAAAAGAGGAGATAGAGGAAACCGGCAGACGTGAGACGACACTGCCAAGAGGAGGAGACTCCAAGGGGAAGATCGTCGGGACCAACCGGGATCCTCGGGAGAACGTAGAACGCCGTCGCGGCACCCTTAGGCATCGCACTATCGCACATGTGTCACACACACGCCCACGACGTCATTACAGAATCTGTGTGCGCGCGCGCACGCATGCACGCACACGTGCGCGACGAATGCACGACGGACAGATAAAGAGAGACGACTGCGAGCGAGTTCGTTTCTTTCTTCTTCTTAACAATGAATTTTTTCAAAGAATTGTTATGAATCGTGTCTTGGCTTCCAGGAATAAATAATAGAAAGTGATGCAACAGAAGTTGCGTCGCTCGTTACGCAGGAAAGGGACGATAAAAACAAATGTATTTGGAGGAAGAAGGATAGAGACGTGTAACACGAAGGACGGCAGAGAGGGGTGCAATTATAATTAATAAACTTTAAATTTGAAGTCGCGATATGTGCGAGATGACAGAGCTGGACGACCAATGAACGAATATTCGTCTGCATTGAACACGATGATCTCGATTGAGAAGCGATATGAATCGAGATTATTAGGGCTGATTTTCACAGGCGAATGGTTTTGGAAATGAAATAAAAAAATGATATCTTTTTTTTATTCAGATATCGAAGTTTTTATAAAAGATATTCATTGTAGAAGTTAGAATTAACAAGTCGAATACGTGCAATCTTGCACAATTTCTGCAAAGTCCGCCTTTTTCAAACAGGAGATTAGATATATGGTATAATTTAAACGTAGAGTATCTAGAAATTCTAGAAATTGATACGGTATCTCAAAATATATTGTCAATCAGGCCTTAATCTATTCGGTTTCTGCGTGTTTAAAGAAAAACGATCGAATACTTTAAAGAAAATATGTAATATAAAGAATAATATAATATTATAATATAAAGATTATTGCGATATATGTTATTATAGACAAAAAAATTATTATCGCTCGTTAAATCATTTACTTAATTTTCTATCGAAACCTGTTAAAAGAAACTGATACTTTTATTCACAAGCGTTCAGTCAATGTCTTAAATTAACAACCTTATTATCACATAATTTTATCATCGGACAATAAAATATTTGCAACAGCTTGATAACATCCATTGTTTTATAATTTAGTTGCGGCCATTTGTCTCAGAAAATAAAATTTAATACTGTTTACACTAAAAGCTTCCCACTTTCCGTTACCTCTTTGGGTTGAGCGTTCTGTACAGGATTTCTCGAATATAAGATCACAGCGACACTCACCATAGCTATAGAAACGATGGTGTTCGTACTAACGGGTATGCTAAACAAAATCCAACAAAGCATTGCTGTAAAAATTAGTTCCACCGCGCTGGCAAAGGTCTTCAGTATAGAATTTAAGGTCTTTAGAAAGAAGCTCGTTATTATCCCAACGAGAGAATTGTTTAACATAATTAGAATTACTTTCGGTTGCAGAAACGTACCGATCTCAATATTACTCAATGTTTCGCCAACGTCGTTCGTGAATATACTTAACAGGACAATTACTATAATGTTGCAAAAAATACTGTCGATATACATAAATACGTTCTGTATAAAAATGTCAATGTCCGCGCCCTGCCGTTTCAGCAAATACTCGTTATATACACCAGCCAAGCAGGAGCATGTCGTCTGTAAAACAGGTTTTGTTTTTCAGAAAATAATCGTGTCTCCACTTACACAGGTATCAATATAATAAATGACTCACTTGTACAAGAATTAGAAATAGAAAAATGTCCACATGGAATTCTGTACCAAGGACGTGGGTATCAAAGTGTTTTACCATACAGCCGACTGTCAAGATCACTAGGGAAAACCATTGCGTTGCGGATAACTTTTTGTTAAAAATGACCTAGAAGAAATCAGAATTATTACATCATCCGTCGTCCTTCTATATATGTAGAAAATAATGATCAAAATATATTTATGTTCTTATTTCAAAACAGTCTTACACTGTTTTTCATTTGATGACACAAGTTGACACAAGCATCGTTTTATCCTTCTTGACATTCAGAGAGTAACAAAGATAGAACGACACTTGTGTCGACTGTGTCTCCTAAAAGAAAAGTAGCTTTAAGCGATGCCTCAAAATGCTGATTTATTATTTTATGACAGCTTAAGACTCTTATACAAGAATCGACTATGAATACCAATATCATCAATATACCTGGAAAATGATTCCCGTAAGTACAACGCGAAGTTGTAACAGAATGTAATAAGTCGTAGGGTCGAACCTAGCCAAATTAACAAATGCTAGATTGTTGTACAGGCAGTACAAAAGCGCAGGTATCATATATAGCAGAAGCACTGAAAACAGGCAGTTTTCTTTAGTACCATGAATCTCAAGGACATCCGATATTTATAAGTTTCTTTATTTCTGTTTTTAATCTCACCCTTTTTGTTTTTCTTTGTCTCCTGGAAAAGCGTTAGAATGCTATTGCTGCAAATTAAGATGAATTAATGCTGATAGCAGGAAAATTAACCCAATGGCCAGTTATATACAAATTTTGAATTGTTTTACTCACTCTTTACAGTAAAGTATTGTAGATATGACCAATTTTAGAACTTCTGTCATCAACACAACTGCCACAATATTATATTCGTAGCGGCCGCTTCTTTGAGACCATGTTACAAGAATACCTGCAGTAGAGATTGTTGCATTTTGATATATTTTCATGACGACTTACATTTAATTAATAAAATTTATGTATTTTATTGCTTATAACAAAGATGAAAATTGTTTACAGAACATGTGATCAATGTACCTTGATTTATAAAGAGAGCTATGTAGGAGATGAAAATAACAGGACTCCACCTTCCTGGAAATAATTCACTCCAGTTTATTCCTCCCATAGTTTAACTTTTCTTAGCTGTTTCAGCTTGAACAATTTCGGTACATCATGTTTGACAGTCATTCCTTCCGTAGTTTTTGTACGCACGGCAGCGCACACTGGCAAAGGCCGGATACTGATTGATACCAC